ATTTTTTTTTAGGACCAAAAATTACAAAGTCTTAACCTTGTTTTATAGACAAATATTTTATCAAAAAATAAAAATATTCTTAGTTAAAAAACCAATCATATACATGTAGAAATAATAAATGGTTGTTTTTTGTCTTTTAAGAATGTTACAAAAGAAACTATTCCTTTAGATATAGCAACTAGTGGTTATAATAGTTTAGTAATATTTAATAAGATTAAATCTCTTTTTAATCCAATTACTTAAGAATTATCATGATTAAAATAGTATAATCCTCAAAAAGATTGGATTTATTCTAACCTTGATTTTTCTTATAGTTTAGTCCAAGATTTTATTAGAGAAGTAGAAATCCATAAGATCAATACATTCAAACTATTATTGATAGGTGTGAGAGTATTTATGCTTGTTGTAAAAGTAAAGTCAATTTTTATTATATATACTCTATCTATTATTGATAAAAAAAATTCAAGTGGCATTCCAAGCCAATACTAAGATTATCAAGATATTTTTAAAAAGAAGAATATAAATGTTCTTCTAAAACATTGTTTCTATGATTGCTCCATCGATCTATAAGAAAGAATTCAACTACTATTTGGACTAAAAAAATGGATCTCTAAAGATGTATATAGATTATTGAGGACTCAATAAGATCACTATAAAAAATAGGTATCCTCTACTTTTGATTTCAAGACTTCTTGATTAATTAAATCAAGCAAAGATCTATACAAAAATAGATCTATAAAGAGTGTACAATCTGATATACATGAAAGAAAGAAATGAATGAAAAACTATGTTTTGAAGTAGATATGGACATTTCAAATATAATGTCATACCTTTTAGACTCACGACTATACTAATTGCTTTTTAACATTTAATGAATGATATTTTTTGTAAGTTTTTTGATGTTTTTTTTATCTATTATTTAAAAAATATCTTTATTTATTCTAAAAATATAAAAAAGTATGAATTTTATATTTTTCGTGAGTTACAAAAATTAAGAGATATAGGATTATATAACAAGATGAAAAAGTGTGTATTTCACACTACTCAAGTTGACTTCCTAAGGTACATCATCTCAAACAATGATCTTATGTTGGATCCTAAGAAGATTCAAACTATCATAGATTAGAAGATTTCAAAAATAATTGGAGATGTATAATATTTTTTGAGATTTTTTAATTATTACCAAATGTTTGTCAAGAATTTTTTTTCAAGTTACAATTCCTTTTATATGCCTGACATGTAAAGACAAACTTGAGTGGAATAAAGAAATTGAAACATATTTTGAATCTTTGAAAAAAATATTTATTTTTGCACCAATTTTATATTGCATCAACTTTTCTAAGGCATTTTTCATGAAAACAAATATATTAGAATTTGCCATAGATGATATTTTTTTCACAAATGGTAATAGATGACAAGTTCTATCTAATAGCTTCTCATTCTAGGAAATTTTTAGCAACCAAGATTAATTACAAGATCTACAATAAAGAACTTACAATCATGGATTTATTTTAAAAATAATGCTTTTGTTAGAAGGCACTTTTAATTCAATCATTATATAGAGATTAGAAGAATCTTAAATATTTTATGTTGATTCATATTTTGAATTGTACCAAGCCTATTGAAGCATATTATTATCAAGATTTGATTTTAAGATTATTTATTAATTAAAAAAAACAAAATTAGTCAAATATTTTTTTAAATATTAGAATCTTGTACTAAATAAAAAAAATGTAACTTTTGATAAAAGAATGATTCTCTTGAAGTCAAAGTATTTTCATCTTCAAGCAATGAAATCAACTTTGATTATTGATTTAACTTTTTAAAAATAGGTTCAATCAAATATGTCCTCTAGTATTCTTATTTATGATATTAAAAATAATTTTTCTTGGTCTCATGATACTTTTAAGTTCAAATTTAAGAACAATCTATTTTAATTTGAAAGACAACTATACATCCCAAAAGACAAAGTACAATTACATGTTCTTTAAGTTTTTCATGACTTTCTTGCAACTAGACATTTAAGATATAATAATATTTTGGAGCCAGTATCCAAAGATTTTTAGTGGTCTCAAATTTAGAAGGTAATAAAAGACTTTGTACAATCATATGATATTTATTCAAAATCAAAAGTTCTTTATTATTAATTTATGGACCTCTTTAGCCATTATTTATTTCAAAACAACTATAGTTTCTTGTTTCTATGGATTTTATCTTCGATCTTTTAATCTCAAATTTTTATGATTTTATATTTATGATAGTAGATAATTTTACTAAGTTGGCATATTTTTTACCATGACAAAATCTATTACATATAAAGAAACAACTAAGTTTTTTTTTTACAATATCTATTGCTACTATGGATTGTCCAAGGTTATTATATTGGATAGAGAAACTTAATTTGTATTAAGATTTAAAATGTTTTTTTTTAAAGATTTTAAAAATAGATACAAAATTGTTTTTGGCTTTTTTTTCAAATTCATGGACAAATAAAGCTTTTAAATCAAGTTTTGGAGCAATATTTAGGTGACTATTAACTACCATCCAGATGATTGGATAATTTTTTTGTCATTAACAAAATTTGGTTATAATAATATGATATATTTTTTTTATAAAATAAACACCTTTTTTTTATTGATTAGAATTATCATCCATGACTTAATGCTTTTGATTTTTCAAAAGTTGATAATCTTATGATAAAAGATTTGGTAAATTATTTATTTGAGCTATATACAATAATGAAGGCATATTTACAAGAAGTTCAAGAACAATAAAAGATCAATACAAATCCCTATTGCAAGAAGCGACTTTGATTCTATGTTGGAAACAAAATATGATTACTTTGTCACTATATCAAGACTAGTTGTTCTTATGAAAAGTTAGATTATTATAGGCTTGGATCATTTTTTATTTGTAAACAAGTCAATCTCATTGCTTATTGATTGCATTTACCAAAGTCTATGAAGATCTATTCTATATTTCATGTGTCTCTTCTTAAGCCATATAAGACAATGAATATCTTTAGAAGAAGACAAATGCCACTTCCTCCTATAGAAATAAATAATAATCAAGAATTCAAGATAGAAGAAGTCTTAAATTCAAGGCGACACTAAAATAGGTTGAAATATCTTGTTCATTGGTACAAACATGATATTAGTGATTATACATAGAAGTTAGCAAAGAATCTTACAAATTTAGTAAAAAAAATTGAGGCTTTTTATTGACAACATCTATCCAAATAAAGTTGAAGAATAATAAGATTTATAAAAGATGATGATTGTTCTTTATGGAATCCATTTCTAGAAAGGGAGGTAATATCATATATATATATATATATATATATATATATATTTCAATAATTATCTATATAATTGAGTAGAAGTAGGTAAAAATAGATTAATTTTATAATATCTTCTAGAAAAGCTTTTTAGAAGCTTTATAGATGTGGTTTTGACTTTATACATGTTTGTAGTTGATTTGTAAGTTAAAAACTTAGTCAATAAATTAGTCATGTATCACATGTGTTGATAGCTTGTGGAATAAGTTAACTATGTGGCACACATATAAAAAACTTGCCTTACAAATTAAAACTTATATTTTATACAGTCAACACATGTAAGGGGTTCTATAAAACATTGCCACATAGTTCCTAGTTATATAGTATGTATGGAGGCAAAAGTAAAGCCTTCTTCATTCTTGTTAATGTCTTTTTAGTCCTTGGTATTGTTTCAAGACTTTCTAATTAACTTTTTTTTAGCAATAGCCATTCTAGTTTAATATATTACCATCTTTGAATAACTTTCAAATCATTTTGAGTGATCTAAGAGTATATTGAGTTCTCTTTCTTTGAGATTCATATCCTTGATATAATGCCATATAGTTTATTTTCTAAAGTAATGAAATTCTTACTAATCATCTCTTTTAAATTCATGGTAGAGTTTCTTTCTTCCATCACATGAATACTATAGCTGCTATCTATATACCAGCCTTGTGATTTCTAAAACTTAGCTAGAATTGCTTCTAATTGATTTTGTTCATTTGATTTTTTTTTTTTTTTTTTTTTTTTTTTGAATTTGGCTCAATTACTATGTTGACAATCTTCTTTGTTATAATTGGCTATTTTCAATGATAGCAATTACATTCAATATGCCTAGGTTTTCTACATACATAATAATAAAGTATTCTTTTACTTGAAGATCATCCTTTCTATTTTCTTCTTCTATCACATCCTTACTAATATTTTCTTCTAGAGTCTTGTCCTCATCCATGGCTTGGACCTATAATATAGTTTTTTTTTTAATCTCAACCTAATGTTGCTTATATATTGAGTTGTTTTGTCTCATTTAATATCTTTCTAATACATTTATTAAAATTTGAGAGAAGAGTTAAGTTATTAATCAACTAAATCATCATGTCATGACTTCTTGGTAATCCATTCAAAAGTAAGTTTATAGACATCTTTTCTAAAAGAAATTCTCCCAAAGTAACTAGCTTATTCTTGTTATCTCTTGTTAATTTAACATATTCTTCAACATCTCTTACTTTTTTTAATTGCAATGCAAAGAATTATGAGTTTAATAACATGTTTGTGATTGATCTTCACTTTGATAAATCTCCTTGAGACAGTTTCATGCATTAATAGGATTTGGTTTTTTCATTATTGTATCTATAAGTTTATTATTAACAAACATTAGTATTTCCAAATAGGATTTATTTTTCTTCTATTTAAGTGCTACGGCTGCATAGTACTTGCTTTTGATTAGTGCATGGAAGCTTGTAGGTTTTTTCTTAATTTCTACAATAGGCCACAAAAATTCTTTGATAAGTATGGATTTTATTCTTTACTACTACATAGGATATTTTTGTCCCCAACAAGTTTGTTGACCTCTTCTACAGATCGATGCTCTTTAGGCTCCCTCTCAATCATTTCTCAAGTCTTTTTCTTAGACGGCTTGATACAATTTATCATTAATTGTGATGCTCTTATTAGCTTCTACAACTATTCTCAAAATAATATATTTACTGATGTATGTTTTTCAAGAACATGTTGTACTCAATAATCAATGCTTTACCTATTTAAGAATGAACTCTCTCCTTTCTCTGATTTGATACCAGATTCATAATTTCTAAGAGATCACTATTTCTTTCATTTCCATCAAAATATCTGTGCACACCTCTCTCTTTTACGTATAGAGTAATTTCTATATACTCTTGTCTTGCATTAACATCCTTATATTGGAAGTCATATGGAAGTCATGACTTCTATTCTAGTCAATGGAAGTCATATTTGTTTCTATTCTAGTCAATGGAAGTCATATTTGTTTCTATTCTAGACTAATGTCATGACTCATAGCTGACTTAAAAAGAATGACATAACCTAAACTAAGATTGCCTCATAATATTGAATAGTGATCTCTTCAATCACAAAGTTGACATATGAGTTATAATGCCTTAAATTTCTGTGTTTTCATGTTGTTGGTTTTGATATTATATTTTAGTTGAGTTCTTCATACTAAAAATATAATAACTCAATTTCATTTTAATGTACCCTCCGCCTGAGAATATGATGATAGGTTATCCCAGTGGATCTTTCCAAGATATCTAAATTGTGCATCTATGACTTTTGTACTAAACAGAACTTACTGTGGCGCTCAGACAGACAGTAGGTTAGCGCTACTTTCCGTGCGTTGATCATATACGAGACTGGAAGCCATGGCACAGTCGCCTGGCTCTCCAAATACGAGCAATTACCGAGAATTTCAGTCAGCACAGCTTTGTTGCATCGTATTCCTGTGTCCTGGTTCTAGGGTGCGGGAGAAACTTTTTCAAAGTTATCATACAGCAGCTGATCAGATTCTGCACCTGGTAGTGAGAAGATTGTAAGATTCTACTTCAATAAGCAATTCCAATTCAGGTTCTAATGAGACAGGTCAGATTGATAGAAGAGCCTATTCCAATGGGCAGGTTTTAATTGTGCTATCGTTCAATAATCTGTATGAAATCCAATTGAACATTAGTGATAATGCAAAGTTCTCTACCAAATATTCGTTTAAATTTTGTTTGTTCTAATCAGGGTTTCAAAAAAAAATCGACGATTTTCATCACTTAAACTGCTTTTGCATGTCACTAATCATTATTTAGACTGTCATCAGAACAAAGAATGATCGAAGAATGCAATGGCTCCTGGTTCAAAAACCTCCATTCAAACCATGACCAGCAGACTTGTTGATTGATCTAACCTTGATTCTTTTCATTCCCTAAAGGAGCTGAAGAAATCTGCAGCATTTCCAATCTATATTGGTTGTAAGTATGTTCGTATTACAGTATAAAGCGCGCCTTTTTTCTGTTCAACACGTCTCCAGAGGAAAATGAGCGACAGTCTCAAGCACAAATGGTGAGGGGGTTTGCACACACGGCACGTGAAGTAAAAAGTTTCTGAAGCTTCTCAATAATTGCTCCTAGGCAATCTTTCACTTGGTCATTTTGAAACAGATGATACCAGCCGCATTACAGATGGAAGAGCATTCAATTCGGGACACTGAACCAAGATATTTTTTCATGCAGCTGATTTAAACATGAGCAAGAGCACGATCTCCATCCATGCTCTGCAGGTGAATTAATCATCGAAATCAGAGAACAGACCAATTCTCTGAATCCGCAACTAAAACCACACCATGATCAAACAAAACCAGCATTTGTGTCCCCACTGCCTATGCTTGTAATCTAAGAGTCGGTAGATATCACTTCAAAGTCAGACCTAGGAACAGCATCGCTAAAGTTCAGCAAACGAACAACGATGAAAAAAATCTTGCAGCAGGGATTTCAAGTTCCAACAAAACCGTCGACAAACAATCTCCTAAGTCGATCAAGTGAATATCTCAAAAGTAACCTGAAAGGCCGGGAGGAGCAGGCCCTGCGAATATTATATCACATACAAATTATTGCCTGCGAAGTAGGTCCTTTCCAAAAAGGCCGTCTTTGAGGTATATACACCTAAGAATTTCGCTAAAAAACTCATTACTGAAAGAAACCTTCACACGAAGAATTGAAAAATGGTGAAACTCAGCATAAAAACATGATCTCTTCCTCCTCCAAAGTATGCATAAACCTCACAGTCCTACGGACTACCATAAATCTTGGCCATAAGAGTGGGTTGCTCAGCATGCATCATAGAAGCGGACATCAAAGAAGACGAAAACTAGGCAATGCATAGTGTTACGCAGATACAGATCCAACACATCATGAAACCCACAACCCATCCTACGTCAACTCTTCACGGACGATTCAAGCTAGCTTCATGTTACACACAACTCCTTGCTGTCACATGCTTTCGGGATCAATCCTATGCTGGACTCCATCTGAGTCAGCACTTTATAACAGAACCCCCTGCAATAGCACAGCGTGGGTCGCACTGGCGATGTCGTTACCCCCTGTGTAAACCGCATGCCAGGTTGAAACACGGCAGCTCCTTTTTCAAACCCAACTCCACAACTGTGCGCTATCACAACCCAGCACTGGTTTCAGGAGGAATCGCTCGGTTTAAGTAGAGTCGCGATCTGACACCAAGGTGTCAGGGTCACGACAATAAATCTCGAGACTCAGCGATGAGCATTTCTGAAAGCCAGTTTGTTGCAGCCATCCCTCGAATTTTCATACAGGTGTCAGAGTCTCTAGATTTATTAGAGCTGAATGGAGTGTGGTACGCGGGAATGTTTTGACCGAGGGGCCCGTCAAATTTCCGAATGATTTGTTTTTCTCCCTTCCATATCCGCTATGGGCAGGAGAAACGCACCGCAATATTTGCTTGCAGCAGTGGGAAGCCGTATCTGGGGCTGCAAAGAGTGAAAGTAAAAGCTCTCGACTGCCCACATGCATAACTCATGGGAGCCCAGTTGCACAGTCAGTGATCATGACTCTTTCTCTCCTGTTCCAATGGGTGCAGGGCGACTCATCCGGACTCGAAAAGGAACTATGCTGAAGGACTGACGAGGTTCGTGGACTTGTGCTTATGTTCAGAAGAGTGCACAGTTGCGAAGAATCTGATATCACAAACAGAACTGCAAACGGACCCTCTCGATGCGTCAGATGCTAGAATTGAAAGATGAGCAGATAAATGAAAGAAAAGTCCACCGCACGGTGCAGGTGGATTGACATGCTCATGGAGCGGTCAGGTTTGGCTGAGGTATTGAAACCTTATCAGCGTTTCATTAATTAACATACGTGTACTCTGTCACACAGAACAGTAACACCCCCGTCGAGGAGTCGCGACCTATGTGGTGGTCCTCCTCGACAGAATATATTTTGTAAAAATACAAGATTAATTAACAAGAAAAATGTAACAAGCACATGGTTACTTAATATGGTATCAGAGCGATGAAAAATAGAATAAGCTTTAGAAATACAGACAAATAAATAAAAAGAACCCATAAGAAGAAGGGTTGTGCTGAAAAAATAAGCACATAAACCCTCTGGGCCAAAGTTCAATGGCTCTTGGTATGGCTTCAAAAAACCTCACCATTAAGGAATGGCCAAAATTCAATGACTCTTAGAATATGGTCTAGAGACAAAAGATTCAAATAAAATTTAAGAGGAAAGAAATGTAGGAATTATTTTTTAGCACAAAAAAAAAAAAAAAAAAAAAAACCAACACCCATTACAAAACCAAACACGTCAAGACAATGACCACCAACAAATCAAACAACAATTCTTATTTAGAAAAAGAAGGATTATGTTTCTTTGCAAACACATCAACACAATGACCACCAACAAATCAAACAACAATTCTTATTTAGAAAAAGGAGGATTATGTTTCTCTGCAACCATTTTGAATTACATTGACAATTTTATCTTTTCACATGTAAGAGCATGCAAAACAACCAATAAAGCATGGCTTCCTCTAGAAAATACATATTTTGCTAGTGATGTTGTCACTCAAGCACACAAGCATGGAAAGTTTGTGAACTAAAATAAACCTCTACTACTTAGTAGTTTATTCCAGTTCACAACAATTAATCATCTTAGGCTTCAATTACATGTAAATACTATTCTAAGTTCTCATTAACTCCTCTTAATCACTAAACACTTTGCAAACAACCATATATGCTACATTAATTAATTCTAAATTCTCAACCCTTGAGGAATTTTTATATAGATTTTATTATTTTTTATCTATCATTCAAGATTTATCCAAGTATAAATTATCATCCACAAATGAGAATTCATCTACAACCAAAATTCATCCAAATTCTAATTTATATCCAGCAATACATTCATCCAACCATTGACATAACTTCATCCATCGACCCAAGTTCATCCAATTCACTATGTTCGTCCTAGCCTAATGGTTCATCTAAATAAAATTCTATTCAATTTATAAAATAATTGTTCACAGAGGTCCCTGTAGGAATTCTTACAATAGATGGCAGTTGTTGACCGTCAAGGAGACAACTTCAATGGAATAGATTCCCTGCTCCAAACAAGGCCCGATAATCTGCAGCCGCTGTTGCAAGTTCAACTTCCACTCCGTTTGGCCAACCCCGTTACCTTTCGCTGCTATGTAGTAGTCGTGAAGCCGTTGTGTCTATGACAAACCCTTGCGCACCGGTTTGCTATCAACAATGACAAAATCAACAAAAGAAAAAAAAGATCCGGAAGTCCTCTCCAATGTCGTTTTAAAAGCTGTATTCTCCCTCCAACGTAAGTACTAGCAACACCAGAAAACCTTGAACGCCCTCTGCCAATCCACCTCACCACAAGAAAGACAGCCGGCAGATTCCAGCAACCTTAAGCAGCGCGCCCACACGAAGAGCAACGAGCGGAAAACCAGAACCAGAGAACCACAAGAGAAAAAAATGAAGATGCAACAAGCCTACGCCACCACCAATTAGCAATCGACTGGACCGCCGCAAGAACTCGACGGAATTTGCTCAAGAGAGAAGAACAACCAAGAAAAGGTCAACAACAAGATTGAGAACAGGTTTCCAGTGGAAATGACTGTCGGAGATGAGTTAATCCTCACGACGCACACCACCGCAAGATGTCAACATTGATATTGGAGCGTCCACCCAATAATCTTGATCTTAACTACTACCAATAGCACCAAGAAGGAAGTAGATAACAGTAACACTGGTGATGAAGGCGGCAACAACACCCGTAGTTGGCAACACAACAACAGAGAGAATCCGTTGACCACCACCACAACGCGCACCCAACCAGCCACAAAACACCTACAAGAACAAAGAACAACGGGACGATGGGATTGCAACGATAACACGATCAGCAAGAGAACCAACAAGAACGGAGCTTGTGAAGATTAGCCGCTCCAAGGAAATGGAAACTGGAGTTGTTGACGTGCTCCGCAAGAGGGAAAAAGAAACAAACAAAATAAAAATTGAACCACCCGAGAAAAACACAGAGCTCAAGGATTGAACTGCTTCTCAACCCAGCACTATAAGGAGGAAGCCAGCGGCTCCATTGCAAATAAGCACTACACACAATTGATAACCCGACGCCGCAAAAATAAAAAAACAGGTGAAATCTAGACAACTAGGAATCCGCGCAGTCGACACCACCGGTGCCGCAAAAACAGAGATCTTCGCCTGTGCCGCAGAAACACAAAACTAGAAGGAAGAACAAGGCGTCGGTTTTCAACTGCCACATACTATGCATAGGCCTATGTAGTAATACTTGTGATTTTTGGCACCATAAGTGCAGTTTTCGTTCTAAAACTACGTGAGTTGATCAAATTACTCACAAAGTTTATAACATTAAAAATGAGAACAAGAGAGAATCTGTGATATAATGTTTGTACAATTTCAAGACCTTACTCCACCAATGTCACTCTATAACAGTGATCATTCCACCAAAAATGTAAAACTTCATGAATAAAAGAGGTCCATGCTATTATAATGTAGTATACTAATTCAAGCATTACACACAACAACTAGGAGTACAACATTCCAAAAGTTGATTGCAATCCTCCTTCAAAAGAAAACAACTATAAAAGATTCTTCTTTAAAATTCTAAACCCTCTTTGCAAGACATAAGGACAAGGGTAAGTGGTAACCAAAATCACCTTCAAAATAAACTCCAAAAGAACACAAATACTCAAAATTAAAATCCAAACCTACTACCTTATATCTTCATTGCAAAAAGATATAGCACTAGGACTTGCATTTATTTTTAAAAAATTAAAAAAACATTTTTAATACAACAACAACTTCCAATAAATGCACAAAATTTTAAAATACATGAATATAAAATGTAGAAAAAATACCTCTTATATTTTATGCACATATGTATCTTTCATAAGCATATTGCTTTGCAATATCATCTAAATCAAAAGCAACAAAATATGCTAAATATTTTATTGATATAAGAACCACATATCACTTGACTCATAATTCACTTCAATTCATTAACTTTGAAGTATTCTCATGTAGTGAGAATAAAGTCTATCTTGGCAATAATACTACTTTTTCATTTATAGATAAGGTAAAGTAGAAATTTGTATGGTGAATGAATATACCATTTGCCTCAACAATACACTTTATGTTCTTAATCTCAAAAAAAAATAAAAAAATAATATAAAATTATAATCAACATAGTGGTGGAATTCTTATAGAAAATCAATAATGTCACTTGACTCATAATTCACTTCAATTCATTAACTTTGAAGTATTCTCATCTAGTGAGAATAAAGACTATCTTGGCAATAATACTACTTTTTCATTTATAGATAAGGTAAAGTAGAAATTTGTATGGTGAATGAATATACTATTTGCCTCAACAATACACTTTATGTTCTTAATCTCAAAAAAAAATAAAAAATAATATAAAATTATAATCAACATAGTGGTGGAATTCTTATAGAAAATAAATAATGTCACATTTTCAATTGTGATAATATTACTCTTGCCAAATGCTCTCTCTATGATAATTTGTATCTTTTATGTATAAAAATATGAGAGTATATTTGCATCTATACAAATCTAGTGGCATACTTTGAATAAGTCCCCAATCACTATATTAACATTTTGCTCACCTTTCCACCTCAATGTTGATGTTGTCACTTTCTAAATACTCTAATTTGAAAAATAATCACTTTTTTATACTTGATAGTCCATTCCAATCTTCTACTAGCAATACCTTGATCTATGCCAAATCTAATTCTTCCTCAAAATTTCTCTTCTTTTCTCAAAAAATTTATCACTCAAATTCTTCACTTCTAAGTTATATTTCTTAATACATCCTTATGTGTGTAGCCAACTCCCACCCACACTATATATGAATACTTTATTTGTCAATACTATAGACTTGAATTCAATATCCTTTGATACTTCTATCTTTAATTGGTCCTTTTTAGTACCCAAATTATATCCTATACTGCTACTAAATCTTATTCTACAATCTCCAATGGCTCTTTTCTTCTTGATACAGTTGTTTCTTTTTATATTGTTGATCACTAGTTGACAATCTAAGAAATGCAACCCAAATCTCTTTAATGCTATTCAATCTCCCAAAACCATCAATATTTAAGTCTATATTAGCGCTCACGTTAATCAAACTCAATTGTGGTATCATTAATTATGACATATCAATTCTAATTGACTCCAAGAACTTACCAAACATAGTGTGGTTATTAAACTTCTAATTCAAAAAGTCTTACACCATCATTACTCTACGTGCTTTTTATACAAAACAAAGTGCCACCAAAATTTAAAGATAGTTATATTTTGTGCCTTCCATCTACTCAAATTTGTTTACTTTAATCTCATCAAATAGGTCTCTACTTCAATTTATTCCTATATGTATCTTTTGACTTTAATCAATATTTTGTTACTTATGACATTCAAAAATAACTCATAAGACCATACATAATAGCATAGTAGAAAGAAAAACCTACACCTTATTTAATGCAATGTAGTGTATGCTCTAAAAAGCTATATTAACTAAATCATATTAGAAGGAAGCTATCTTGTGTATAATATATCTTTAAAATTGGTACTCTATCAAAGCCATATATTCTTCTACTAATATATTTGAGCTATAGTATAACTAAAAACTTGACATTTCATATATA